GCAATATAAGTCTCTGTGTTTACTTGGTTGGGTCTGAGCGGCTGTGGGACTGGCGGGTGACAGAGATTTGTCCTGACTGTGGGCCAGGCAGGAAAACACTAGCTACAGACCACATTAGGAAATCTGGATAGGGTTGACACAGCAGTCTGGGTAGAAAGAAGGGTATAGACCACAACCCAAGATTAAGGCAAATCAAAGAGTGAATTAGCATGTATCTGTATTGAACTGATTCATTAATAGGTTTGCTAAAATTCACAGTGCCCTCAAGAATTATAGGGAGAACTCAAACACGTGCTAAGAAATAAGCAAGGTCAGGGGTTCTTAGGAAACTTTTACTATATCAATGCACAACTTCCTCGCTAATGCCATCCCAGCTCCTCCCTCCGGGAGGCTCTGGCAATCTCCCTGCGGTTGTTTCAAAGACTGGGAAATCTTTCTGAAGGCAGCAAGTCCTGCTGGTGGCATTGGCTTTGGCTCACCTCCGCATCACTCTAGTGTTGCTATAAGCCTGTTGTGAAGGCCTGAAGTTGGCTGTCCTTGAAATAAAATGAGAAAACCTGAGTTTGTAGGCCAGTTTGGTTCCCAGCCCAGCTATCCTGGCCAGAGAGAGCAAACAATCCTGTGTTTGTGAGCGCACAAGGACCGTCCAGGCCAGCCAGGAGGCCAGAGGGAGCACATATCCTCTGAAACGTCAGAAAGAGCCAGCTCATTGCCCAAGTATTAATGAATGGGCTCCACTTGTCCCCTAGGGCAACCTCAGCAGGGACGCAGTAGGGCGGAAGCCCGTCTTCAGATCTGTACACACAGGCCCATCTATCCTGTCTCTTAGTTGAAAATTAGGCTTAAAAAGTAGATCATTATTACCAAGTACAGTTATTTATGTGAGTCATTACTTGATCGATGATTTCCTTACCTCTTTATCATCAGGTAAGGACTGTCTTACTCCCTACAACCCAGTATAGAGGCCCACAAAGAGAAGGCAACAAGTAAATATTTGTATTATGCAGAATAATTAAGGCAAACTGGTTTCTCTCTCTCTTTAAAAAAATATATGTGCACATATATATTTATGTAGGGTGTGGGTGTTTGTTTTGCCTACAGGCATGTCTGTCTGTGCATCACGTGCATGCAGTGCCCAAGGAGGACAGAAGAGGGCGTCAGATCTCTCCTGTGACTAGAGTTACAGTTACAGATGGTTGTGAGCCACCATGTGGGTGCTGGACATCCAATGTGGGTCCTCAGGAAGAGCCGCCAGTATTCTTAACTGTTGACCCATCTCTCCGGCCCCCCTGTACCCTCCCCAAGAGAGATCATTTTCACTTCTCATTACAAACACAAAACAGATTTCAAACACCTTCTGTTGCCTGTTTTTGACTCTGTGAATCTCAGAACCATCAAGCTGATTTGATCTTTAGGGACCGCTCCTTCGCCAATGCCAGCTGTGAACTGGGGATGAAACCTCTTGTATCCCAGCTGTTTATGAATATGTGCGTCCTGGTGTATACAGCATCCAGGTCACAACACCGTAAGGCGAATACAGTCACACTTAATCTCTTCGCACAGAAAGTGGCTTACCTTCCTGGTGGCTGATCACACTGTGGGGCCAGAGGAGTCGAGCTTGAGTGTGCAGAGAGGCACACTACTGATCACTGCCACGTGGCTGTGGCAGCTGCTCCACTCACTGGGTCTTCAGCTGCTTTGCCCGGCGCGGTTCCTACTTTAGTCCTCCTCCGTGAAGCCCTCCCAGCTGCCTTCGGTGCTCCTGGCTCTGGACAACCCACGAATTGTTTAGACCTCCCTCAGTAGTCTCTACTTTGCTTTGTGATTGGTCCATTCATTTTAAGACACAGATTTACCCCCTTTTAGCATTTCTTACTTTTGCTATATTTGGGAGAGAATTGTTTTCAATGTCGGGTGTTATTTCTCTGAACACGGTCCAGGAGTGGAGTCCTGTGAGGAGAAGTCTGAGTGCTTGTGAGAACACTCCAAGAGAACAAGACAAGAGTCTTGTGGCCTCAGTTTCTTCAAAACATGGAACTTTTCTTGGAATGTGTTTTCCTGCTTCTCCCAGGTGTAGTGGATAAGAGTGAGTTTACTTCAGAACACTCATTATTGCTTGCTGCTGTTATTCGATTAAACATTTAAATACCCTTTCTAACCCTCTGTGGAAAACATGCTTTGCCAGGTGGCTTGTCCTTGTGATTGTACACAGCTTGAACTCACGAGAGCTTCACGCATGTTGCCCCTCTGAACCCCCAGAGCATACACTGTCTGATGCCCTGCTCCATTCTCCCCACCCACTGCCTCTAGGGTGGGGACAGTTATTCGGGGACAAGACACCTTTTGGGGGGAGAGGGCAGGGAAGAGCTCTCTTTTTCTCCCTCTCTGTCTCCCTCTCTTTTCTGGAATTCGAAGGTTAAGGCTACACTAGCTGGCCAGGGAACTCTCTCCCTTCCTCAGGATTATAAACCTGACCCACCACATCCTCATCTTTCCATGCCTTCTGGGGTTATTACTTCACTTCTTACGCTGTCTCTCCAACTCCCTCGCCCGCACTTCTCTTTCTTGGCAAGATTTCCTTTAAGTCGATAAGATTATAATATCTGACTTAGATTTGATAAATCTTGCTGTTTGCCTCTGTGTTGTCAGGTTCTGGGCTCAGCAAATGTAACAGATGTGTGGAACACCCCTCCCCCACGCTAGTAAAAGCTGCTGAAGTTACAGCGTGTCCGTTATCCGGCTGGCCACCTCTGCTCTCCGGATAGTGACCCTCAGAAGGTCAAGGACTGGGCTGTGAGACGCTCCAAGGTAATCCTAAAGAGCACAGGCAGGCACGGAAAAACCACTTTCCTCACTCAGCACAGTTCCTTCAAATGATCCGATTCCTGCGTCAGGAAGCAGAGGGCTCCGGCGAAGGGGTGCGTGGATGTGATAAATGTTCACTTGTGGGACCAGGGGAGAGAGTAATCATTTCTCCTCAAAGCTGAGCGCTTCCTCTGAAACCACAGGGTCTCAAAAGGATCACCTTTCAAAGGCTCATTTCAAAGCAAGAAGGGCTTTCAAATATTGAGTCTCTTGACAAAATCCACAAGCCACCCTGGCAATGTTGTGCTCACTATCGCTGTCCTGTTCGTAAAATGATAAACAAAACCTTTGAGAGCTCCAACTTTTACCCGGATACCGGTCACAAGAGGGTTAAGTGCTCAGTCCAAACAGGGCAAGTGGAGGCACCCACCATACAGACCTTTGATTAGTATTGCCCCATAAACTAGACACCACAGAAGGGTTTTAAAGACCCGAGGATGAAGTGTGAGGAAAGCATGCAGAGTTCCCGTGAGCAAATATTGGCCTTTGAACCTTTGAGGTTATCACAAAGCTGTTGTTTGAAGGAATTCTTTGGGTTGTTTTTTTTCCTTGATGAGTGGACTGAAGCACCGATCCAGTTACAGGAGGCCTCGGTCAGTTTGGGGCTTTTGGCCATTAAATATGCCCAGATCCCATGCCCCAGACTACCGGCATTGCTCCCTCGGGAAACCAAATCTGCGCTACCTGAGTCAAGCTGTACAAACACCTGGGCTGAGCAAAGGGCGTGGACGGTTCAGATAAATTCCTCTCTCCCTCACCAAACTGTGCCTGCCAGGTGGGCTCAGAGCGTGGAGTCTGGGGACCCTGGCTGCCTGGGGCCCCTGGGCTCCCCAGAAGGCTGGCTACACTAGGCTCCTCTGCTATCTCCAGGATCCTGGTCTTGAGAGGGAAATCAATCACAAATTCTTTAACTTCCTGTTTGCCTTTCTCTTCCTTCTCCCCTTAAATTCCGTCGAAATGAAAGGGCTCAGGGACGAATTGAAAATAGCATCAAGTATACACATGTCAGGCTCTCCTTCCAGACGCCCAGGCTGCTCCTGCGACCTCCCTAAGGCCTCTGCCCCAGAAGAACACGGAAGGGGTAGACCTCTAAGGGCCCGGGAATGTGGAGCTAATCCGGACACACCATTCCCCTTGCCGGGCTCCTATTCAGGAGGCAGTGTCAGTGAGGGTGTCCGGCAGCAGGGGTGTGAGGGGGATGAGTGGAGAGGCCGGCGGCAGGAGGAAGGGGTGCAGTACCCTGTCCACACGGCTGCTGCCCATCACACGCTGCTCTGGACTCGCCACACCTGAGCCCAGCAGCCTAGTTTCGTAAGCGGCTGTCTTGACCATTTCCAAGGTTCAGCTGAGGGATCCTGCCCCTCCCCCTAACCCAGAATGCTCTGACTGGGACTGAGGAAGCTAAGGAGAGAAGATTTAAAAAAAAAAAAAAAAAAAAAAGGTCCGCGGAAGCGATGAGTTTACAGAGCCCCAGATTTCTTATCTTACAGGGCTTCCTCTCCCCTCCAGCGCGCTCTCCGTTAGAGTTCCCCTTCCTTTGTGTACAGTGAGATAAGCACATTTACAAAGAGGATGACAGGCCCTCTCTTCTGGATATTTCTCTCCCTTCATCCTGCTCCACCCACCCTCTCCACCAAGGTCCTGGGTCTAATCCTAATAGTAATGTGGTCAGAATTAATGCGACTCATCTTCAAAAAAACTTATTTTAAACACAAATCGAGGAACAGACACAGCACAACAAAATAATTGATCTGTAATCACCAACTATATCAAGTCATGAAAGGCAAAGCAAGGGAACCATTTTAAAAGGACAGATGTTAAAGGGATGTGGCATCAGCTTGGGATGCGGGTGTCCTTTGGCTGGGGGGAGGGGGTTGGTGAAGGCTGAGTGGAGTGTGGGGTTAGAAGGCTGCATGGACCGCTGCTGACTTCCTGGCTTTGAGAATTGGGTGAATATGCAGGTGAACACTATTGTAAGTTTCCTTTAAGGTAGTGACTATTCTGTATTCCATTTTCAGGAATCAGACCCAAATCCATAATTTTGAGAAGACAAGTCTCTTATTTTTTGTCAAGAAAGAGACCATTCAAATGTCGTTAACAGCACAGGCTTTTCACAATCTAATTCATGCAAAGAGTTTGAGTGGTTTTTGTTGTTAACTGAACTAAGTAAACGATTGCACATGTACATGCCAAGAAGAAATAGGAAGCATCTGTGTATCAATATGGACCAACCTCTGGGATATATTAAACAAAAGAGCCAACTATAGAACACTGTGTGTGCGCACACAGGGAAGAAAACTGCGTGTTGTGCAATATTTTAAAATTAGAGACCAGAAATATGAATTATAAAATAAAAAAAAAAGATTACCTGTAAGAGAAGAAAAAAAGGGTAATGAGGTAAGAACAAACGTTTAGACTCTTTGTAAATGGATTTGGTAGATTGGACTTTGGAATCATGTAAATGTTTCATGTAATCATCAAAAACTTACTTTAAAAATATTAAGGGGTTTCAGAGACAACTGAGCTGTTAAGATCAAAGTACTGTTTTCCAGAGGCCCCAAGTTCTGTTCGAAACACCTGATCTCCACACCTGTTCTCTCTCTCTCTCTCTCTCTCTCTCTCTCTCTCTCTCTCTCTCTTTCTCTCTCTCTCTCTCTCTCACACACACACACACACACACACAAATAAAATATGAATCTTTAAAAATGAACACTATGTATTTGTGTGTGTGTGTCTGCGAAAACTGTAACGAAACAATTGAACCTACATCTGATTAGTATAACACACTGAGGGAAGCTGTTCCAGGCGACTTCCACTTGCCTGCAGCCTGCTGGCGTATCTATCACACAGACAACAGGAACTGCGAGAGCAAGGCTTGTTCTGGTCCAGGCCTGTAACTGCAGCTACTGGGGTTGATACAGGAGGACGGCAAGGTCAGTGCTGCCTGGAAAACTCAGGCCTTATTTCCAAACAGGAAGTGATCAGTGGTAGGAGACTTAGCAGGAGCAAGGCCTGGGTTCAGTCCCAGGGACCACAAGAGGACAGAGCCAAACAAACCCACTTGGCATGGATTGTGTTAGAGTGTGAAAATGTTGGTACTTGGTTCTGCAAGAGGGGTGTGTGTGTGTGTGTGTGTGTGTGTGTGTGTGTGTGTGTTTAGGATGATTACACAATTATGTGAGAATGTACATTTGAACACCAATATTCTCTGCCACCAGAGAAAGGAGAAAACTGGGTTGAAACTGCTCAGCAAAGTCATTAGAATTTAACTCACGGTATGTTTTATTGCAAGAAATAAACATACATCCTAGTTCAGTCTACAGAAAAGACCTAGCAATAACACCGTGCAGCCATGGCAGACAGTTCTAGAACACTGCTTCCTCCAACAGTGAGAGATTCTCAACCTTCCTAATGCTGCGACCTGTTAGCACAGTTCCTCATGTTGTGGTGACCCCAACCATAAAATTTTCATTGCTACTTCATAATTGTAATTTTGCTACTGTTATTAATCATAATGTAAATATTTTTGGAGCTAGAGGTTTGTCTTTGGGGTTTTGACCTACAAGTTGAGAACCACTGCAAGTCTAACAGGACTGAGGGACTCCAGGAGAAATGTGATCCCACTTTTAGAGCAGGCAATGTTCAAGAAGTCCCTGAAACATTGCTGCCCTAGATTATAAGAACGGGACCAAAGACAGCTAAAACTATGTTGAAGGACTAACTTTACAGATTCTCACTGGCCAATCTGTCAATATTGACATTCACTGTGATAGGAAAAATTTAAATATTGAATCTGTGACAATTCTAAAAAGATAACTTATCACTCTCATAGGAAGCTGTGATTTTTTTTGCTACTAATTAGTTCAAACAAACAAACAAACAAACAACAACAACAACAAAAACCCACAAGCATTTATTCTACCTCTCCTAGAGGAAAAATTGCAGAGGGTGACCAAATATAGGTGGGACTTTTCTCTCCTTCCTATAAGGATTACAGAAAAAAAAAATCAACTTTTAATGAGTCAATAGACCTAGGAAGTGATCCTCAAAAGTTGATAGTATCACAAAAGAGGGAGGCCACACGTGTTGCACGCTAATGGAGGAACACGTCACCATACTGAAGCAGTATTTCCAGAATTAAGAGGGGAAGACATATCAAGATCCAACTAGTCTGGGGCTGGAAAGATGGCTCAGCGGTTAGGATCATTGGCTGCTGTTCCAGAGGACCCACACGCCAGTCTGCAGCAGCATGTGACTCCAGTTCCAGGCAATCGCACAACCTTTCCTGGCATGCACATGGTACAAGGCATGCAGCACAGACATACATGTATGCAGAACACTTATACACACTTTTTCAAATTTTAATTTTTTCAAAAAGATCCAATTAGCAGTTTATAGAAAAGCAGAAGATAAAGAATATTAAAATGACACCACAGAAATGTAGGGAGGGAGGGGATGGAGGAGAGGCAGACAGGCAGACAGCAGACAGACAGACAGCAGACAATGAGGACGAATAAGGAGGCATGGCAGCTGGTCACAATGTATGAACCTTGTCTGGGTCTTGGATCAAATAAGCAATTTTTTTTTAATCACAACAATTATGAAGCTATTTAAAAGTTTGAATTAGTATATTAATTAGTCTTTAGATGTAATTATAACATCATACCTATGTTTTAAAAGAGACCTCTTTTAGGGTCTCATGCAGAGCTGTGTACCAAGGAACCTGCATTGCTGATTGCTTCAATCAGACGGGAGAGGAAGCGAGTGGGGTGGACATGAAAGGCAGAGTCAGCCATGAATCCATAACTGGTGAGGTCGGGCCGCCTTTTTCTGATGCTTCGAACCTTCACTCACCCTTTCCATGTTCTTGGAATTTTCCACGGTAAAGAGTTTGAAAACAGCACCTACTGTGTACCGGGCACTAGACTGGCATTGACCTCAGCCATGAATTTGCATCACAGAAAAACGCAGTCAAAGCCTTTCCCTCATGGCTTAGACATGTGGGAAGGGAGAAGAATGTGGTGGCAACGCCCTTAACTCTCCGGGCTTGAGATGAATATGCAGTTTCTGTTGCCAGATTGGAAATTGAGAGCAGAAGGCAGCCCTGTCTAGTGACATGGTCGAAGGCCGGAATCATTACTCAGGGACCAGCTGCACAGTATGCTCTCCACCCAGGAACACATGCAGATAGATACCCACCAGACTGAAACAGGGCCACATGTGGGTTTTGACAAAGAACAGTTAGAAAGAAGCCCCACAGACTCGTCTGACTTCTCTCTTTGGCCCCTGGGCCTTCCGTGGAAATGTGGGGTTTCCTTTGACTTACACACACGCTCTGGACCATAACAAGAGTCCCACAGAGACTGGGCAGTGCCCTTTGGCTGCCCAGAGGGCAGGGGTCCCAGTGTTCCACACTGCTAGCATTCACACCACAATCTCCTCTTATTTCTGGGACCCGCCCTATTTGCTCTTTGGCTCCATGGAACTTGGGGGCAGAAACATAAATTCAGCTGGTTACTGTTCTGCGTGATGGGGTGACCTTTATCCCACATGTCTGGGATGTTTTCTCAAAGAATAAAAGAAAAAAATGGCTTTGTCAAAGACACATAGTACCATGGAGATGTCTGGTGGAGGAATGTGTTTGGGCACAGGTCCCCCGACTACACTTCTGTGGCTTGCGACAGGGCAGTGTTTCTGTGGGAACCAGTATGGCTATTTACTCATATTTTTATTTCATCATTTGCTACAAGGAATACAGAAAGGAGCTTAAACAGCCCCCAGGCAGGCTGGGGAGAAAGACACATTCACAGATTGCTTCCATTTAGGGCAGGGTGTGATCAGACCTTGAAGAAAAACTTTGGAGAGAGAGAATTCCAGCTTCGGTGATGAAGTTCCAGGAGGTGAAAGTGTGAAGCAGATTTGAGAGATGAAGCTAACGTTGAAGTTAGCATTAGCTAATGTTGGAAATGGCCTGATGGTGCGTGATCATTGGTTTTCATTGTCGGGCTGATGGGATTTGGAGTCGCCTAGGAGACACAGCCCCACAAAGTTTGATTTTTATGAACCTCCTCATTTTTAGGTTAGTTACCCATTCTATGAGTGCCACAGCTGTTCTGTGTATTGTAGGCTGTAGTGGGTAGCCATTCCAGCTTTGATGTAGGGGGTAGCCCATTCCAGCTTTGATCTGGAAGTTCCAACCCCCATTGAGGCTTCGGCAACTGTCACGCCTACAAGGCAGGGCCAGGGGAGGCGCCTGGAGACCCGAGATCTGGATGGGCCAGCGCTCTCTCGGTTCCGGGACCCTGAATGGTGGAGGTGGACCGAGCAGAGCTCCAGAGAACACTGCTGGATTGCGATACACCTTCCCCAGACCCCACAACCTACCTATCCCTTCATTTGTAAGTTACCCACTAAATAAATCTTCCTTTTAACTACGTGGAGTGGCCTTAATGATTGCACCAACAGTAGCCCTGGCCTCTCTAGAGGCCAATGTGGCCACCCTTCACTTGACCCTCCACTTGTAATAACCAAAATGCCAGTAGACATTCCCAAGTGTCGTACAGTGGGTAGGGGTGTTGCAAAATTGCCCCTAGTTGAAAACAGCTCTACTATATAAAGACATAATTCTTTTTTTTTTAGGTGTATATGAGATATGTGTTATATGAAATCTCTAATGTTTCCATATATTAGCCACTTAATCCTCACAGACCCTAGGGAAATACAGGTACATTATCACTGAAATTACTCATATCTAGCAGAAGAGCTTAACTTACTCAGACACACTCCTGAAAGTAGACTCAGGACCCCCCAGCCTCTAATCCCTCAAGCTCCATCATCAACACCCCAGACTAACTCGCTAGTCTCCTCTCCCATGGAGACACAAACTAAAGGGTGTGTGAAACAGTAAGGGGGCCCCGAAAGCGTCTTGGTTCCCACCTGGAACTAGGCTGGAGGTGTCTGGGGTTGAAGCCCATGCCGTCCAGGGAGGCTTGGAACCACCTTCCTGTGTGTGATCTTACTCTTCTGAAATTCCTTTGAGTACCAAACATTTCTTCTGTATCTAGACCAGCATCCCTTCAGAAACAGCTTTTGTCCCCGTTAATGCCTCATGGTTGTAGATGAATTTCTAAACAGTCTTATTAAATAAGGAACACAGAGCCAAATACAGGGGTGAAAGCCGTAGAGATCAGGGAGATAGTGAGAGCCACCAGCCAACCTTAGCTCACCATGCCGCTGTAGCTTCCCAAGAGAACCAGCTTCTTCCTGTCTAACCTGCACCTTTATTGCCTTGCTGTTCTGCCTTCTCATTGGCTCTTAGCCCAGCCACCTCCTTTCCTCATCACTGCCTGTCTGTACAGACCTCCAGTTCTCTATGGTTGGTACTGGGATTAAAGGCGTGTGTCACCACGCTTGCCTGTGTCCTGGGATGCACAGAGACTCTGCCTGCCATGTGATTGGATTAAGGGCGTGTGCTACCACTGCCTGACTTTTGTTTATGGCTGGCTATGACCTCTGATCTCCATGCAAACTTTATTTATTAACATACAAATAAAATATCACATTTCAGTACAAATAAAATATCACTACACATGGCCATCATGACCATAGCCCATGGTAACCACAGTGTTGCCGAGTTGAGTTCTTCTACCT